ACATCGGCCTAGGTCTGTCTCCAGAGCCAATATGCACTTCTTCCAATTCATCAGCCGACGTGAAGCCGTGTCCTAGTTTACCATCTGTACTATCTATTGGATTATCCATTAAAACAAACTTTCAAAGCCGACTGCTTGGATCGGCTGTGGGCTTTCACCATTGACTCTGAATTCTAATGGCAACAGAAAAACCATTTGAATATTAGCCGATAGTTGCTTTCTATCAGCTATTTGCTTGGCACGCCATACTTGAGTTTTACTAGATGCCTGAGTCTGTTCCAACTCCTTATTCCTTAGGCATTGTACTCTTCTCTTCTGGCTCCTTGTTAAACTTCCGGGGCATCATTGACCTTCCTACCAAACATGTTTCTTCTGGTTGCTTCCTTCTTCATGATCAGCGATCCTGGTTAACAACTCTTTTTCCCAGCCGATCATGAATACTTTTATTTTTTAAGTGCCGATCCATGTTATTATGATGATATGCATCCTGAGAATGGATAGACCAGCGGTTGATTTGAGATTGCCTAAACTCCCAATATTGATTGCTGCATTCTGGACAGTTATGTCTGGTAAGCAATTTCAAACCTTCGTTCCAGCAGTATCTGAAGAAAGGACAATTCCAGTGCGATTTAGCTTGCTTTCTTTCATACCTTTCTTCTTTCAGTTGACGCTGGTATTCTTGATCCTCTAACCATCGCTGATAATCTTTTTTCTTCTGCCGCCGCCACTTATTCAACAAGATCCGAGATGTGACTCACGGCTTCGTCGCTCCATCTTTTGACGTTTCCCCCTGCTCATATCGGCTCCTCTGCTGATCATGACGTTTTCTGGTCTCTCTGTATTCATCAGCCGATATTTGCATCTTGGAATCGACTGTTCCATCTTTTCTTGATTTGGCCGATGTTAGGACCTTAGTTTTTCCTTTGAATATCCCAACATCAATCATATTTTGATCTCCTAGGAAAGGATTATCATCAACTTTCGTCTTCCGAGGTGTATCGAACTTGAGCCTCCCTTGATGAATAGCTCTCTGTATATGCTGCCGGAAAATTCTACACTCATTAGTGGAATGAGAAGTAGCATTATGGAACTTGCAGAACTTCTTATTCTTCAACTGTTCAGGGGGCAACATAACATGATTGTTCGGCAATTTGATCTGGCCCTTCTCAAGTAAGAAGTCAAAGAGCTTGTCTGATTTCATGACATCAAAGTCATAGCTCTCCTCGACTCATCTTCCCCAAGGATTTGGCACCATTACTATCTTCTTGCTCCAATTCCATTCAGCTACAGCAACCTCCTCTTCTTTATCTTCATAGCCGTCATCTGCTGAGTATGGATCATAAGCTTCGGCTACGGTGGTACTCTTCTAGAATCGGGTGTCTCTGCTCATACTCTGAAATTGGCTATTGAGTGCTGCTACTTGTTGAGTTAATTGACCGAAGTTGTCAAATTCTTGTCCTAATAGCTTTTCCTTCCACATTGGCAGCATTCCTTAGACAGCTAAAGCAGCTAGCTGATCATCGGCCAAGCTCAATGAGAAGCATAAATTCCTAGTCTCCCAGAATCTCTGAAGAAACTCAGTGCCCGATTCATTAGTTCTCTGTCTCATGGTTGTCAAATTGGTTATCTTCTTTTCTCCAGTCCCAGTGTAAAAATATATATGAAACTTCTTTTCTAGGTCAGCCCAATTGGCAATGGAGTTGACTGGTAGCGACAAAAACCAAGTGAAGGCTGGCCCTGACAGGGATAAAGAGAAGAAACGAACTCGATGGACATCATCAATTGATGCTTCGCCCAATTATGTAAGATACCGACTGACATGTTTTATTGTACTTGTATTGTCTTGACCAGTGAACTTGGCGAACTCTGGGAGCTTGTAATTTGTAGGAAGAGCGACCAAATCATACCATTTTGGATATGGGCGTTTGTACGAAAAGGTTAGCCCTTTTGGCTTCAGACCGAACTAATTCTTCATCATCTCGGTCACCTTTAGCAGCAACTCGTCAGCTTGCGGATTTGGATTTCTCGGTATTTGCTGACCCATCTGTGGATTGAAATCTCGCGTGCCTTGATATCCTGAATTTGGCATCATGTGGAGGGTGTTATAATCTGTGCCATAGTGATAGCCTTATGGAATATCAATTTGTTGGGTCCTTTGCTGGCTTGCTGCTTGAAGTCTCTGATTATAGACATAAGGATCTATATCTCTACGAATCATTTGAATTGATGGTGCTATTTTCTGAGCCGACGACGGTATGTGGCCTGATGTGCCAAAATTGATCATCTGGTTCTGACTTTGCCCCGTCGGCTGTTGTACATGCTGTATTGATGGTCCATGATTGTACTATATCTGATTCGTAGCAGTACCTGAAGTTTGTTCAGATGAACCTTGAAGTGTATGGACATCACCATTACTAGCTGGTACTGCTTCTTGATGGCTGATACCGACTTGATTAGTCCCTTGAGTCGATGGATCTAGAATGTTGTAACAAGTCGATCCAACCTGACCAACTAGAATCCCATGAATCGCCTCTTTCATGGCGTTGTGAAATGCGTCAACGAAAGCTTCATTGTGGCTTGATATGGCATCACGAACAGATTTGTCTATGGCTTCTGTAAAGAAACGTCTGTCTTCAGCTTCGACTATGTCTGTCTGTCCATGTAGTATAAACTCTTGGTAGTGAAAATTTCTGAATAATTGTGCTGTCACGTGTTTTGGTGTAGGACAACAAACACTTCTTTTGAAATTCTTCTATAGCTTTGCCAATGGTATCCTTATCCTCATCAGGTACGTCTTCATAGTGTACCATAAGGATGTTGTTGTTGTTGTGAGCCGCCATGACGATTGTGGTGTCCTACTAGGCGTGCCAAAAACGTGTGTCGACACAGAATTTTCGCCTCCGTGCCGAGGACACATGTAGCAAGCCGGAAGGGTTCCGCTCGATGGAGCAGATCCGCCTAGCTTCAGCGCAAGGGTGGTCGATCCTGCGCAATTCTCCCAAGATGTTCCAGTCAATTTGACCCTGCAATTGACAAGGAGAGAGAGCTTATCAGTAATTAAGGGCAAAACATGCCGGTGTTGCCAGACAGTCCCGAGTGTGAGACTCTGAGAGCCGATATGAGAGGAAATCGACTAAATAGCCGATCCCAGCATGTTCACAAGAATGAATCGATTAAAGCTCATGGGGTTGTATAAGAAGAATCGGTTATCATTCAGGATAAATGTTATTTAAGCAAATATTAATCAATGACAATAAGATATCAATGATGATCGGTTTATACTGAGTCAATGATTGCAAGTAACCGAACTTCTTTTATTTAAAGAAACAATTTAACACCTCTAAACCATCTAATAAAGATAAATCTAATGAACATGTTAGATCTCATCTATCGCCATGACCAGTGGGGCATGAGGCAGAATCATGCAGGTCGTAGAAACAACAATAGACTCGACGACCCTAACTCATTACTAATATCAGTGGGGCATGAGGCAGAATCATGCAGGCCGTAATACAATAACAAGATCATGGGGCTAACATATCTTTCAACTTATCTCTACTTCAATAATCTTGTGATGTGAACTATTCGTGAAAGCATTCGATATCGGCTAAACAGCCGATTCAGGCACATGCCTTCTTAGGAACGGGTCTAGCAACTAACGATCCCCACTCCACGGTGCCAACAGTGGGGTGAGAGGCAGAATCCCACCGGCCATGATGACGGGCCATGGAGCGGTTTTCATTAACTAATAGATCTACTCAAGATCGGACATGCCTTAACCGCACGCTATGCACGATTAAGATTGACGCAAAACAGTCGATAAAAATATAACTCATCGCTTAAGATGTAGATTAGATCAGTTTTAGATTAGCAAACGATGAGTTAAACAAGATATAAGGCCGATCCAGATCAATCTCAATCAGGCAGAGTGATATTGCTGTAATTAGATAAACAATGAAAGTAATAAGCAATATTGGTAACTTAATGAATCTATCAAAGACTGCCATACTAAGATAGAGCCGATAACTTGACCTTGATCTAATTCAAGCAGTTGGGTGTGAGGCAGAATCACACAGGCCATACTTGAATTAGACAAGAGTCGATAACTAGCCTATACTAGAGTCGCAGGGGGGGGTCGATCGGATCGATGCAGCCATACGAACAAAGGTATAAACCATGACGTTACTTACAGACAAGCAGTGAGAGGTTGGCCGGATCGATGCAGCCATACTTGATGAAGAACTCGCCGAGATCTACTCTACTCCTACTCCTGAGGGGTGGCCGGAGCCGAAAAAAAGTAATTGGCTTTGTATTTGATTGATTGCTGTCTTTACAATAGCCGGGGTTTGGTATTTATACCTGGAGTCTAAACATGAACCTTACTCGAGTACGACTCAATACAATCTTTGGTATAATGAAAACATTCCTAATTTAAGATAACTTTGACTCTAATCTTTTCTTTTTTTTAGAGTCCAGCATGTCTCGTCCCAGCGTCGATCGTAGCCTCTGTCATCATCTGCTAGCGCTATTTGAAGAAAGCCGATTCTAGTGCGTCCGAATCAACTAGCTCCGATCTCCACGTAGCTGATTCCTTGATGATGACATGATTTTCGGAAGCTTCCGAACGCCTGTAACTCTTCTTCCAAATTCTGGTGTAAACATTCTTGAACCTCCCGAAACTGGCAGTAGCAATAAGATTTCACGGGCATCTATATTCGATGCTTTGGTGATTGGAATTCCTATAATAGCAATTTTGACTGCTCTGGTTGTATGCATTTATCGTATTAAGAAGAGGAGAAAGAGTTCAAAGAATAAAGGTACTATAGTAAACTCATCTCAAATTTTGTGTTGTGTAATAAACAGGTACATATATCTCACTTTTTGGTTACTTGGCAACAAAGTAGTTAAATCAGGAAGTAAAGCTTTCCATATTTATGTGGGCAGCAAAGAAACCATATCTAGTATATACGTTAATGACCACATATAAACCCTTTCTATAGATCTCCAAGCCCTTGACCTGCAAACTGGCTCCTTCACCTTGCGACAAATCAAAGTGGCAACTAGGAACTTTGACCTGGCTAACAAGATTGGTGAAGGTGGTTTTGGTTCAGTTTACAAGGTCAGTCAGCATTACTTTCCATGCATAAACAATAAATAAGTTAATACTGCCAAAGCACAACTTATACAGGAACATTGCCATTGATGGTTTGACAGGGTTTATTGTCCGATGGCACCGTCATTGCTGTCAAGCAGTTATCAGCAAGGTCTAAACAAGGGAATCGAGAATTCGTGAATGAGATAGGGATGACATCTTCACTACAGCATCCAAACCTTGTCAAACTCTATGGCTGCTGTACAGAACGAAACCAGTTGTTGTTAGTTTATGCGTATCTGGAAAATAATTGCCTTGCACGAGCTGTTTTTGGTAATTGTACTCTCATGTTTCCTGGTTTACCCCTTTTTTTAGTCTTATATGCTACATGTTAGAACTCAGACTTTCATGGGCTGTTACTGCTGGGTCCAGTTGATCAATACAGACTCAGATTGGATAGGGCAACAAGACATAGGATTTGCCTTGGGATAGCAAAAGGTCTAGCATATCTACATGAGGAGTCCACAATAAGGATCGTACACCGCGATATCAAGGCCAGCAATATATTGCTTGACAAAAATTTGAATGCCAAGATCTCAGATTTTGGGCTAGCAAAGCTTAATGAAGATGATCACACCCACATAAGCACAAAAGTAGCTGGAACCATGTAAGTGTTTAACTTCCACACTCCTTTTTTTGTTGAAACATACAATCACATCCACACATCTGATTGACCTACAATACAAGGCTATAGATAAGAAGCTCCAGAAGGGAAGGCAATCTGTAGCAATGGTAACAACGAACATTGCAAGCAACCTAAGGATAAACAGTGGGAACCCAGAGAACAGAATTCATTGGCTAAGAGTCACTGAGCCAGGAAAGAAACCACATACATATGGGGGATGCTATTCCTTTTTTTTTTTTTGAATCTGGGGGGTTGCCATTCCTGCATATAAACATAAACAAAAAAAAAGATGCAACTAACAGCATATTGACAGTGGTATTGAATTAAGACTCTTAATGTTGTTAATCAGTTCCTATTTGAACAACTGATGAAATTACGTTTCTGCTCACTTTTTAGTAAATGTAAACTGCAGAACTTACAGCTGATTTGATCATTCTGTGTTCATGCAGCGGATACATGGCTCCTGAGTATGCTATGCGTGGTTATTTGACAGATAAAGCTGATGTATACAGTTTTGGTGTTGTTGCTTTGGAAATTGTCAGTGGAAAAAGTAACACAAACTACAGGCCAACGGAAGATTTTGTTCATCTTCTAGATTGGGTAACTCCTGAATCTTTATCCATTCGTAAACAGCAGTTTGGACCATGTTGGATGGAGGGCTTGCTATATCATCACCTTACACACAAAGCATTTATGAACTGCAGATAATTGTTTCTGCTACAAATATGGGTTGCCCATATTGCTAGAAAATGATCAGTTTTTGTTCAACACTAGGATATTTCATATGGAAGCGCATTTCATATTACCTTATCATTTGAACAGTAACATTAGCTCAATCCTGCATCCCATATGAATGCACATTTAAGATAACCTTATTGTTTAAACATTCACATTAGGTAAATCCCATGACCAAGATATGTGTCAAAAGGAATAAATTCTCTACATTTAGTTCTTGCATCATTGTCCCTTACAAAAGGAATAGATTCTTACATTCCCACAGCATTAACTGGATTTTTACCTCTAGCGTGTCAAAATTGTGAAACCTAACAAAAATAACATTTTTTTCATGTAGACAAGGGAGTAGACAATGAAAATGGATTATATTGAATCTTCATGGGCATATCTTGAGAGTAGTAAGCTAACTGCATGTCCTAAATGTGTTCCAGGCTTGTGTTCTGCATGTGAGAGGAGCTCTCCTGGAATTGGTAGATCCAGACCTAGGATCGAATTACTCAACAGAAGAGGCACTCATCATGCTAAATGTTGCCTTGCTATGCACAACCGCAGCACCTAAACTGAGACCAAAGATGTCAAAAGTTGTTAGCCTGCTTGAGGGCCACACGCCTCTTCAGCCCTTGCTGTCAGATCTCAGTCTTGCTCAGAATTGCCTGAGCACAGGTGGTTTATGGAGGAACCTCTGGCAAAAACTAAGTGAGCGTCAGAGACTGACAGAACAAGCTTTCTGCAATTACACTAATGAATCATCAACCATAGATATAAATAATGACCTGAGACCATTGGTGAGTCAGATGTAGTAGATGTGCACCATGACCCAAGTGTACATAAAGTACGAACTACCAGGGGTAGACCAGAACATCTGTATAAAGTATCAACATTGCAATGCAAATACCAAGTAGCGTACTAATGTCTAATCCTGTAAGTCATAAGCATTTTAGTAGCATCCGCTTCAAATTCAATGGGACTATAAAATGCTGACCACGGTACAGCACTGGAAGGTCCCTATTGTCTCTGCTGACCCTTCTTTTGCTTTTATTTACAAATAAAACCTCACAAATTTGTCATTAATGCTTCATCTGATAGCATTTAACTGTCAGTCACTACATGAACATGAATTGATACCGCTTAAGCACCCAATAACTCAGCTCACTGCTCAACTCCTATATCATATTAAATCGATAAGGAACATCACAAAAACATTGTTATTTCACTATTCAGGTGCCTTCTTTAGCAAATGTTCTGGCAAAACAACTTTTAAGGTCGGAGCATCTGAGGATATCTCAAGTGAGTCCCCATGCTGAATTGAATGCACTACATGTGAACCATCAACATAAACAGCACCCTCTTGATTGTACCATACAACAAGCATGTGTTGCTCTTGCTTTAGAAAATCATGGAGCATTGGTTTGTCGGCATCCGTTGGAGAAATCGGCTCCCTTATCATATACTGAAGCTCACGGCTTGATAATGGCATCATAAATCCTCCAGCTGATTGCATGGCAGCAGTTGATCCAGCAGCTGTTGAGACCCTCAGACCGCTTGATCTACAATTAATTAAACGCGAGTTCTCTCCCGTATTGTTCCTTTTCCTGAGATGGCAATACTAATCAGAATTGATCACATTTGAAAGGAAAATGAATTTATAAGGAAACTCAGACAAAATACCTAAATGAGAAGCGTGACACACTTGCTGGACAAGGGTGTGACACCAATATATCATTCAGAGCATAAGTCGGCAGCTGAATTCCATTTAGTTTCACCGATATCCTTGACAGCTCCAAAGGGCGCCTACTGCCATCAAGCGTTGCATCAAGTATCTGGGAGTATGGCAAGTTCAGTCGAAATGGAATTTGAGATCATATAAAAATCCATTAATGATACAATTCTACAAAGAAGTAGATTGAGCATGGATTTTAGTCCAATGTCCTTGAAACAAATAATAAAATGCGAACATTTTGCAGATAAAATAACCTGTTCAAAGTTTCCTGCAGTAGCTGCACAAAGATATCCTGTGCTCCTCCTTGCATCAAATTCATCAGTTAGCTCGTCAACCTGCATGAGGCTATTATGAGCTACAGAATTATAACAAGACTTGATGAGGCACAAATATAAAGGCCAGTCTGCTCACAAGTAAACAACCAGCTAATAGCATACTGGTTATGATATGAATATTGTACCTCACTGGTTTCAAGCTACGAGACTTCTGAGTTAGAAAAGGATAAACAACTGACCTCCTTAGTACAAGTAGGATCTGAATTAACACCCAATATAGGAACTGAGCTATCCAAAAAATGGCTAGCCCGGAGAAGGGTGCCATCACCACCGACAGCAATCACAAGATCCACATCACGTATTGGCTGAGACAAAAGATTGCGCTGCACAGAAATCCAGTCAAGGGACTTGCGCTGTAGGACCCTCTGGCAGAGATCAATTGTGTCCTTGTGAACTCTGCACCTATCATCCAGATAGCTCAGGATCTGCAAAGGCAAACCACGATGGTGATAGAAGGCTAGGTAAGTTTCCTTAATCCATATCAAAAAGTATCTGCAGTATTGAAATCAATCAAGGGGGCAGGGGGAAACTGCAGTTAAATTACAGACTAGATAGCTCAGATTGTTCAGAGAGAACCCCCCAGCAAGAAACAACTTCTACAGTATATTTCCTAAAAAAAATTGGATAACCGATAAGACCAGGAGTAAGTGAATCTTTTTCTAACCGAAAATGATGCATGCAAACACCATGTCAGACCCATACAACAAAAAAGGACTGAACAGTTAAGGAGTAATTCATTACCACAACAACAGTGCACCATGCAACAAGTTATAGAATGTCATTCTACGGCATTTTGCAAGTACTACCGCAATGACCAATGGCTACTGTAAGTGCACCACATCTTAGTTAGTTATCCAGGACACCAAAAAAAGTAAAAGTAAAAGTCACGATCCGTAGAGGCATTTCAACGAACACCTGAACTCCACCACCATTTGGACGAGCATTTTTTGCTCACTCAACTCAAATGGATCAAGCGTGCTCCCGCACAACGAACAACACTGTGAACGAGGTTAATGAAATCGGGAAGCCTATACCCTATAGCGTGATTTTCACGATCGAAGCGCGAAGAAGTGAACTCCGCCACAGTTTAGACCCTATATATATGGGACCGTCCAAACATGTGAGAACCCTGGCACCCCGGTCCAGTCCTCGGGAAGCAATGGCGAACAGCATAACTAAAGACATGAGAGAAGGAGAGAGAGAGAGAGGTGCGACCTTGGGGCTGGCGGCGCGCGGTTGCGGCGGCGTCGAGGGCGCAGAGGTGGGAGAGGAGGCCGCGGCCCCGACGTACGGGCGGGGAGGGTATACGTCGAAGGGCTTGAGGAAGAGCAGCACGCGGCGGCGCGCCATACGAGCCTAGTATGACGGCGAGTCGTGGCGGCAGCGGTGGTGGCGACCGGCGACGCCTTCTCGTCACTTGCGCGGTGGAGTGGAGGTGGAGGCAACTCGGAAATGCTCCAGACTCCGGAGGCACCCGTCCGAGAAAACCTTCCAGACAGAAACTTACGCACGACACTCACCGACATCTGGGCCCGCTACCACGAGATTACACGGCCCCGACTCCACCCGCGCCCTCGTCGTGAGATCGAGTTGAGACTCGGCGACCGCCGCCTCCGCCGGATCGGAGCGAAAGCGACGGCATCGATCTACTGTTCCTTTCTCCTCGACCGTCGTCACTGATCAGGTGAGTGAGCCGGCCTTCCAGTCTCGACGCGACGTGTAGTGAATTCGAGATCCTTTCCATTGCCCAGGTCATGATGTCTCCGGTTACAGATTGGCACGGTTTCAGCTGGCTTCGCTAAAATTTAGCTTATGTCGATGCTTATGCTAATTTTTATAAAAGAAAAATATTATTCCACATAAATCCAGTTAGAACTGAGAAATTACATGAGCCGTGAGTTTGAGTTTTGATAAACTTTTTTGGATTTTTGGTCCATTTTGAGGCTAAACAGACTAACCTAAGACTCAAATATATCATTACACAAGGATTTTTAATTTCAAAACTACAAGAGGTACGATGCCACGTACAAATAAACTGGGGCAAACTTATTCTCTAGCATCTATTTGAAAATTTTGAAGAATTTTAGATACTAGTACAGTGTCCGTGCTAACGCCACGACTTTATTTAAGAGATGAATATAAAAACAGCCAAAAAATTTTCCGTACACGCAATTATATATGACCATATATATAATTCGGAAAGCATAACATAGCATAATTAGTCTTTGCATCTAAAAAAATAAAGCATAAATTTAAAATAAAGCATAAAACTAAAAAATCATAAAACTAATGTCATGGTCTCTTTTCAGCCTTAAGGCAGGTATTCAGGACAGGTACAAGTGCCACCAAGGAATTCCGGTAACTCACTACGCATTTTTTTTACAAGCATCGACAACAAATCTTTAGAGATGCAACAAATTAACCCAATATATATTCCAAGCAAGAAAAAACATTTGCTTTGCTTTGTCAACATCAGTGCCATACTCCCTCCGCCACTAACCTCCACAGTCGCATCAGTGCCATACTCTCTTCGCCACTAAAGCATATCAATCCACATTTGCTTTGCTTTGTCGATATCAAATTTCGTTACTTTCAGATATCTACATATCAGATTTAACTGATATATATAGCTCAGCATCATATGATAGTCATCATGTCTTGCGAGGCAACAGCTCATCCAAGAGTAGTATTTGTCTAAATGCTTCAACAACTTGCAGCTCCTCTAGATCACACACATCCTTGGTCTCATGTTAGATTTACCTTCCCTAAATTATTCCGAGAGGTTGGCACATCACAAATTTTCTCAAAAAATTAAAAAAGCTAATGTAAAGTACAATGTAAACCATTTATTCTACCATCAATTTAGTGAGCCAATTATTTACACACAAATATGTGAAATCGAAGGAGACTACAAATTCTTGATTGATAGTCACTATAATAGCCACCTAAGATACTAATCACTGCACAGGATTAAACTGCTACATATAAATGCAATCATACAATCTTCTAAAATGACATTGAATCGAAAAGCTAAAAAAATTATGATGCATATCAAAACAGGGGCAAATTTTAGAGAACGGGGAACTTCCAAATATAAGCGTATTTGAACATTTAAGGAAAGAAAATACGCTGAGACTATAACTATTAGATATCTGGTGCCCCAGTGCCGCCCCATGTTGCACAAGATTGGCCTGCTCTTTTTTTCCACCTTTCTTCTTCCTGAGAGAGTACAGTCTTTCACGAGACGACCTTCGTGAGATCTTGTAAGCATGGCATCCACTACTGTCTTAGCCTTCTTCTACATAGTGTTTTATTCTTGTTGTTAGAACTAATAAGAACTTAATATATATAAAGTCCAGCAGCATCAGATGCTTACTATCAGTGGAATCAAGAAATGCAGACAACATGTAGTAATTTATTAGGACAACTATGATAAAACCCTGATGAACCAAAACTGCAGCAACAGCCCACACTCACATCATTGTACTGTGGCTTTGCTTTCCTCTTCTGGCCACAGCCTTTCTTCTTCCCTTCTACCTGTATAGAAATTATTTGCTCCAATTTCAGTTGAACTTTCCCATATTCTGCTTCTGAATCAAAGATCTTGGTTGCCCTTTACCTATATAAGGTTGCAGTTGATGCGATCTTCAGCACTTTTTCGTAGTTTCCTGATATTTCTAGATAGAATATGCTTATAAAAGAACTGTTAAATCAAAACAATAATCTAGTCTAGAGGAACATAGCACATGTTGTGGCCTGTGACCGTTCTCCATTTATAAAAAATCAGTTTCTATAAATACTCAAATAACAATCAACTCAGAAAATTCAGATCTGCAACCTAGTCCTCTAACACATACATTTGAAAAGGAAAAACGACCATAGATGCTACCTCAAGCTTGTCATTTTCTTTTGACATCACCTTGCAACCTCTCTGCAAATCCCGCATCTCCTGCCCTAGACCATCAGTTACATTTTTGGAAAAAGTACTACTCTACTATTCAGCTTGCAGATGAGCACAACAAGCGAATAATAGCAGATATTCCCGTCCTTAAAACAGTGACCTATATAAAAATATAAAAATCCGTTCCTTGAGCGTGCCCTAGTATCTCAAATCTCAGCATGTTACAACAAAAAAATGTAAGCAGAATAGCAGATATTCCCGTCCTTAAAACAGTGACCTGTATAAAAATATAAAAAATCCGTTCCTTGAGCATGCCCTAGTATCTCAAATCTCAGCATGTTACAACAAAAAAAATGTACTTAACTCGCTTCCTTAGTGGCGTGCTACATCGGCGCCCGGGTGTAAGTGAAAAATGAGCAAGGGTCTTCACATCTGAGTTGACAGGTGCGAAGGGTAAGGAAGCTAGTCGAACCAACTAGGATCCGTTTAGGTAGTTGGAATGTAGGGTCGCTTATAGGTAAGTTAAGAGAATTAGTTGATACCGTGACTAGAAGGCATGTAAATATATTATGCGTTTAAGAGACTAAATGGAATGGTCAGAAGGTGAAGGAGGTGGACAATATAGGTTTCAAGCTTTGGTACACAGGGACAGTCACGAATAGAAATAGAGTAGGAGTTTTGATTGATAAGAGCCTCAAGAATGGTGTGGTGGGAGTGAGAATGCAAGGAGATAGGATTATCTTAGTCATGCTTGTCGTTGGTGATATGGTCTTAAACGTAATTAGTACGTATGCCCCCAAGTAGGCCTTGACGAGAGTGCTAAGAGACAGTTCTGGGAAGACTTAGATGGTCTGATTAGAGCTGTACCTAGTAGTGAGAAGTTTTTTATAGGAGGAGATCTTAATGGGTATGTAGGTACTACAAGCGCAGGTTTTGAGGCAATTCATGGAGGTTTTGGGTATGGTAGTAGGAATCAGGAGGGGGAGGAAGTTCTGGACTTTGTGGTAGCTTTTGACCTGATGATAGCCAACACTTTCTTTAGAAAACAGAGAATCTCATCTAGTGACCTTCGGTAGCGGACAACACTCTAGCTAGATTGACTTTGTCCTCGCAAGAAGAAAGGATAAATGAGCATGCTTGGGTTGCAAGGTGATACCAGGGGAGTGTGTTGTTTCTTAACATAAGCTTTTGGTGGTAGACTTTCATTTTCAGGTGTGTGCCCATAGGGATAAACAAGCTAAGATTGAAAGAATAAAGTGGTGGAAATTGAAAGAGGAAATGTCAGAGGTATTCAGGGAAAGGGTTATCAAAGAGGGCTCTTGGAAGGAAGAAGAGGACATAAACAACATATGGAAGAAGATGGCAACCAACATTCGAAAGGTGGCCTCAGAGGTGTGTGGAGTAACCAAAGGAAGTGGAGGCGAGGCTAAAAATACTTGGTGGTGGAACGAGGAAGTATAAAGGGCTATTAAGGAGAAAAAAGAATGCTATAGACGCTTGTACCATGACAGGAGTGTGGACAACATAGAGAACTATAAGGTGGCAAAGAAGACTGCAAAGCGAGCTGTAAGTGTGGCAAAGGGTAGAGCGTACAAGGATCTTTACCAACATTTGAGTACGAAGGAAGGAGAGAAGGACATTTATAGGATGGCTAGGGTTCGTGAAAGAAAGACAAGGGACTTCAACCAAGTTAAGTGCATTAAGGATGAAAGGGAGCATCTCTTGGTGAAGGAGGATGAGATCCGATATCGATGGCAAGAGTATTTTGACAAATTGTTCAATGGTGAGAATACGGACACAACCTTTCAGTTGGATGACTCTTTTGATGATATCAATAGGCGCTTTGTGTTGAGAATCAAGAATCTGAGGTCAGAGAGGCGTTGAAAAGGATGAAAGGAGGTAAGGCGATGGGACCGGATGGTATCCCAATTGAGGTGTGGAGATGCCTTGGGGACATAGCTATAGTATGGCTAACAAAGCTGTTCAACCATATTTTTCGATCGAACAAGATGCCTGACGAGTGGGGAGAAGTATATTGGTACCGATCTACAAGAATAAATGGAATATTTAAAGTTGTACTAATTACCAGAGAATTAAGTTGATGAGCCATACTATGAAGCTATGGGAGAGAGCTATCGAGCATTGCTTGAGAGTAATAACGTGGATCTCTATGAACCAATTTAGTTTCATGCCCAAAAGGTCAACCATGGAAGCCATTTTCTTAATAAGACAAGTTATGGAGCGGTATAGGGAGAAGAAGAAGGACCTACACATGGTTTTTATTGACTTGGAGAAGGCTTATGATAAAATACCAAGGAATGTTATGTGGTGGGCTTTGGACAAACATAAAGTCCCAATGAAGTACGTCAGGCTCATTAAGGACATGTACAACAATGTTGTGACTAGTGTTCTAACAAGTGATGGAGACACGAATGACTTCCCGATTAGGATAGGACTACATCAAGGGTCAGCTTTTAGCCCTTATCTGTTTGCCTTAGTGATGGATGGGGTCACAAGGGACATACAAGGGGACATCCCTTGGTGTATGCTTTTCGCAGACGATGTAGTGCTAGTTGATGAAAGCCGGACAGAAGTGAATCAGAAACTAGAGTTATGGCCGGAGACTTTGGAGTCCAAAGGTTTTAGACTCAGTAGAACTAAAACTGAGTATATGAGATGTGACTTCGGTACTACTACTTGGGAGGAGGAAGATATTAGTTTGGAAGGTCAAGTAGTGCCTAGGAAGGATACCTTTCGATATTTAGGATCAATGCTACAAAGAGACGGGGATATTGATGAAGATGTTAGCCATAGAATCAAAGCATGGTGGATGAAGTGGCGCCAAGCATCTGGTGTCCTATGTGACAAAAGGATACCACAAAAGCTAAAAGGCAAGTTTTATAGGACGGCGATTAGACCTGCTATGTTGTATGGTGTAGAATGTTGGCCTACGAAAAGACGACATGTTCAACAGATAAGTGTCGCGGAAATGCGTATGTTGCATTGAATTTGCGGTTATATAAGAAGGGATCGAGTTCGGAACAATGATATACATGATAGATTAGGGGTAGCACCTATTGAAGAAAAGCTTGTCCAACGCCGATTGAGATGGTTTGGACTTGTCCAACGGAGACCTCCAAAGGCACCGGTGCGTAGTGGAATTCTAAGGCAGGATAGTAACGTGAACAGAGGCAGAGGAAGACCGAAGTTGACTTAGGTAGAGGCAATAAAAGGAGACTTGAAATGATGAAATATACACAAAGACTTAGCCTTAGATAGGAGTGCTTTGAAAACAGCTATTCACGTGCCTGAACCTTGATGACTTCTGCTGGGTTTCAACTCTAGCCTACCCCAACTTGTTTGGGACTTAAAAGCTTTGTTGTTGTTGTCGTTGTCGTTGCATCAGGATAGCTCATTGTTTTTCAGTTTCCATACCAAGAAATATAAAAGGACTGGAAATAATGAAATTCAAGTCTGGTCATAATTTGTAAGACAACTGTAGAGTTACAAAGTGAACACTATATAAAACTTGTTACAGGGAATACAAAATAGTTTTAATGATGGAAACATTCAACGTTCCTAACAGGCAAGTCTATAGCAAATGCCAAAACATTGCGAAGGGGGAAAATGTAATTATACACTAGAAAAATACCCAGTAAGAAATGACAGAGCCATGTTACGAGTGCCATTCATCAATGGGATCACAGAGATTCTTATACACATTAAACCTGCCCCTACGAGGTGTCTCCTATTTTCCATTTCTCCCTCCACTGGCTCTCAGCAAGATCAAGGCCAGAGAATTCATGGTCACATTTCAGATTTCTAGTTTCCTCTGCCCTCTTACTGCACATGATACTTGCCAAATCTTGTATTGTGCAGGACGTGCTCCGGCGCATCCTATCGGTGAGCATCTCAAGATCATCTCGCAAGCCAAGCCTGAGCAACCTATCCCCCAGCACCTGACAAGTAGCCTGGTAAGGAGGGATACCTTCATCTACCATCCTCAAAAAGTAACTGCAGGCCTCCTCTGCTCTACCCTTCTTGCAAGATAGCCCATGGATCATAACAGCGTAAGTAGCTGCTCCTGGGGTGGAAACCACGTTTTTCCATCCCATCCCAAACCTCAATTGCCCTATCAACCCTTCCTATAGCAATCAACATTTTCAGAATCATGTTGTAAGAGTGCCGATTAGGCAAAACACAAGCCTTCATCCATCCTTGAAATAAGCCGTAACGCTTTGTTCACCTCTTTCAGCTTACAATGTGTATTAAGCAGAGTGTTGTAGCTCCAAACATCAGGCTTCTCCCCATAGGCTGCCATCAGGATATTATAAGCCTCGTCAACCTCTCCCAACTCGCACAGTAACCGAATGACAGCATTATAGGTGAATACATTTGGGGTAAGGCTGCGTGCACGCATCCTATCTAGCACACGAAGAGCAGCACGAGCATCCTTTGACGCACATGCTGAATGAAGGAATGGGCCATAAGTAGCAGCATCAGGGGCAAGCCCACGGCTGCGTTGCATATCTTTTAGCTGCTCCTGTGCAAGCGCAACATCCCCTCCTCGACACAAGGCGTCAATCAACGCGTTATAGGTAGGCACATCAGGCTGGACCCCTCTCTCAATCATTTCGTCAAACAGTTTCCGAGCCTTCTCTGGCTTCGCAACAACAGCCCACCCAGAGATCAGGATGGTATAGGTTTTGGCCGAGACATCAAACTGAAGTGGCGACTCCCTAAAGAATGCCTCGGCGTGCTCTGCCAGGCCATTATGCGATAACGTGAAGAGCAGGGAGTGCAGATCAGCGACCGTCGGCAGGAACCCGAACCCCTCCATGGAGGAGAAAGCTCGGATGGCGTCGTCGGGGAGGCCGGCGCGGGCGTACGCGCGGAACAGCAGCGGGAACAGGTCCCGCGAGAGCGCGGGTCGCGGGAGATCGGAGAGCAGGGAGCGCAGAAGCGAGAAGAGCCGCGCCCCCGCGAGCGAGCCGGCGAGGATGAGGAGCGACTCCGGAAGATGGGTGAACCCCGGCAGCGCGGCGGCGAAGAGGAAGAACCGGAGCGAGGGCACGGGAAGGTTGCGGCAGCGGCGCAGGACGGCGGCCGCCGCCGCGGGCGTGAGGCGTGGCCCGAATCCGTCGAGCGCGGCGCGGAGGTCGTGCCGCGGCCCGCGGAAGTCGCTGAGCACACGGCAGAGCGCGCCGACGAGCCGCGGGTCGGGGTCGGGGTCCGGGGCCGTGTGGGGCCGCGGATCCGGCTGTCCGGCGGGCGAGGCGGAGCAGAGGCCGCGCAGGAGGAGGAGAGAACGCGGGCTTCGCGGCGCGGCCGCTGCGAGGAGCCTGCCGGCAGATTGCATCTCGCGCGATGTGTGGTAGTGGATAACGTTGAGAGAGGCAGGGAAGACCGAAGTTGATTTATGTAGAGGTAATAAAAGGAGATTTAAAAGGATATAATATATCTAAAGACTTAGTTTTAGATATGAGTGTTTGGAAAATAGCTATTCACACGATTAAATCTTGATTGCTTCTGCTGATTTTCAACTCTAATCTATTCCAATTTGTTTAGGACTTAAATGCTTTGTCGTTGTTGTCGTCGTCGTCTTACCTTGAGCAGCCCTGCTATGATTGGCAGCATATCAATTTCTATGCCAACATAGAAACTGACCTCTGGAAACTGACCTTGAGACGAGATTTTCTAGATGCATTAGATTTTCTGGTGAAAACAAGTTCCATGCTAAGTGCAGCAGGTTTTTTGAATTTATCTCTATCTTATATAGGAGTGAGAATGAAAATGGAAACCAATGTCTTCATCGAGATCAAGCAAAGGTAGATTAGAAAAAGTAGCAATAATAAAATTAATAAGAGAGCTGAATAGTTGACAGCCCATATAGAACCTCATTGGCATGCAGTACCTACATAGTAATTTTTTTTGTTGATGCCAGGGGATAGCTTATATGATTTGGACAGATCACCGACCTTAACGAAGACATAACTAAGGCGATCAAAACCAAAACAGTGATCATTGTATCACAAGGTTAAGGACCAATTATCCTTTTTAATCTATCAAATTATATTATTATGGCACTGAACAATGGTCGTATGTCTTCACAACCTTATCGAAACAAAGTATCAGTTCTTGAAAGTAAGACAGTCCTGTGCGATCTCATAAATATCTGATCACGCAGTTTCTTTATGCATAAAAATTATACATACATCAGTCTAATTCAAGTGGACACAGCTGTAAGCAATGTAATGTACTATTAGTCTACTATATGCAAACTATAAAGTGTCCAACCTCAAAGCCCAGCTATGTTTGAGCCCCTAACTGAAGTCCACAGTATGAATGGTGAGAATGTTCAAGAACCCTAGGTTCAGGAAAGCAACAATATACTACTCAGTATTGGACGCTAGTTAACAAATGGCATTCTGTCTCTACATCTCTGCAGACTACAAGATGTTAGTTGCTCTGAATCATGTACCAGTAAAAAACAACTGAACGACGGTGCCCAAATCAGCAGTGAGAGAGAAAAAGCAACGAATAGATCCTCGAGCACCGATAAATTAGCGTTACCTAGAATTCGGTGGCGAGCGTGGTCAGCGACTCGGGGACATACTTGCTGCCGAACCTCCTTGTCGGGGACCAATACCAGGGTACCCAAAGAGGAGGAGATAGTAACCATCAACATTGATTCGTCGAAGCAATTAAGAGCACGACTACAGCTCCAACCGACCCCTAGGTGTGCGAACTCCACCTTGGCCGACCCCTGAGGGTTGGCTCTGCCTCGCCTGACACTGAGGCCATGGGCTCCACCTTGCTCGATCCCTGAGGGTGGCTCCGTCTCGCCCGACACCGAGGCAGCGGGCCCCGCCTCGCCTGACCCCTGAGGGTGGCTCCGCCTCGCCCGACACCGAGGCCGCAGGCTCTGCCTCGCCTGACCCCTGAGGGTGGCTCCACCTCTCCTGACCCCTGAGGGTAGCTTTGCATCTCCCGACACCGAGACCGCGGGCTCCATCTCGCCCGACACCGAGGTCACGGGCTCCGCCTCGCCCGACCTCTAAGGGCTAGCTCCGCCTCGCGCGACACCGAGGCTACAGGCTCCGCCTCGCCCGACCTATAAGGGATGGCTCCGCCTCATCCGACCCTTGGGTTTGGGCTCCACCTCGCCCGAGCCTTGGGTTTGCACTCCGCCTCGCCTGATCCTGAGGCTAGGGGTTTCGTCTCGCCCGACGGAGACCCATACCACCACCGACCACTCCAGCTCCAAGCGTATGGGCCTGGGTCAAAGCTCTGACACCAGGGGAGTGACCGGCATGCCCCAATTTAACCCATGGCCACGACGGGCCATATTTGGGGGTTCACATCAGGAACAGCGTCGGGCGTACCGGTGCTGTTCTACATAACCCCCGTACGAACACTGACAGGCGCGTCAGTTCACCATGACGTCTGCTAGGACAGAGTGGAGCGCCACGACTGGCAGACGACGCCTGAACATGGTGCCAGTGACGGACAGGGCCGTGATGAGAAGCTGTCCCTGTTGACGTCTACAAGGTCGGCGGGACCCGCATAGAGGAGAAGGTCCTGGTGATCCTGAAGGACTTCTTCCTCTCGTTCTCTTCTCTTCCTCTACTGTAACCCATGCTTTCCCTTGGCCTATAAAAGGGAAAGCAGGGTGTCCTGATAGGGGGCATCGGAACTCATCGCAACACACCATAGGAGACTTGAATCTGATCAACTCATCAAACCCCAAACGTACAATCAAGCAGCAACCGAGCCCTCGGCACCTGTTCAGCCTTTCCATCAGAGACTTGGGACCTATCCCTCTCTCACCCATTTGTAACCCCTACTATGAACTTTCAGTGCTAGTAACACAAGTGGTAGTAATGAACTGGACGTAGGGACATTCTGCCCGAACCAGTATAAACCTCGTGTCCTCATAGCACACCTTCCGAGCCAGACGCACAATATTAGAAATTTACTTGTTAGTGGCAACTCGAAACATCGACAATTGGCACGCCAGGTAGGGGCCTTTTGCGTGTCTCGACATCCACACCAGGCCTCAGATGGCTAGTCACAACCTTAGCTGGGTCCCGGGCGCGCACGTGCGCTTCGGGGACCTAGACTTTATCATCACGACGGAGGGAGAGTTGGCGATGGCTCCCGCCGTCGTCCGACCTCTCCACTCTGCCGACCTCGATGCGATCACTGAGGCACTTGAGGAGCTGTAGCTACACGCACCGGAGGCCCATGCCCCTAGGAGCAACCAGCTCCTTGACTTCGACTACGGGAGGTTAGAGCGCCAACTCGGTGCCCTCCTGGGACCTTGGCGGCCCCCGGGAAGACAAATGCCACCTCACCTTCTCGTTCATCAACTTCTTGGCATAGCTTCCTGGAGGGGAGCCACTCTCTCTAGCATACCTCATCCGGAGCGCCCCGACAATGCTCCCGTCCGGTCTCCACAACGCCGCAGAGACCGATGGCCACCTTGTGGCATGACGCACACCTCTGTCCTCCACGAATGATGAGTTCATGGGGATGACCGAATATGTCGCAGAGTCTTTCCATGACCTTCCTCGCGGGAGAACCTAAGTCGCCCTCTAGCTCTGACTCTAGCAAGGGGAGCCATCACCCCTCTCATGAGTGTTTTAAGGCGGGTACCCCGAGGGACACGTCAAAAGCATTCGTGAGGAGGAGGCTACCCCGACAAACAATCTCGACGATGAGGTCGAGGGGGAGACAGGGGCCCCACCCCGCCTTCAGGTGGAGCAGCTGAAGGCCCGACACCTAGAGCTTAAGGAAGCATGACTCCAGCTCGAGCAGGAATGCGCGGAGCTCGATTGGGAGATCTAGCGCCAAACAGGCGGTAGGCGCGCGCGTGCCATGGCCCGCGACATGAACCGGAGGATCATCACAGACGATGAAGCCCTCCCACACTTCGCTCAGGTGAGACAGAACATCGCTATTGTGGTGGCCTTGCTTCGTGGCCTTCCAGGGCCCACGACGCCTGAGGATCGTTGGGTCCACCGCGAGATTCGCACGCTGCTCAAGCGTGCAACGGTGCAGCAGGCCGAGAGATTTGCACGGTGATGCGAGCTTGATGTCAGCCAGCGCATGCCCTCGGAGTGACCTGATAAGGATGCATTGGTCCACTAGGCGCCGCAAGGCAGCAGGCTACGCACCGTGGTTCTGGTGCATAAGCGTCTCAGCTGCAACCGTGACACGCGCGACACCCTCGACGCCCGCAGGCGTACCCATGGCGATGTGGGGGAGGGAGCTAGCCATGGCTACCACCCTCATCATGGTGGACGCTACGACAACGACGAGGACCGAAGCCCAAGCCCTGGCCTGCCGGGGCCTTAGGCCTTCGGACAACACATCCTCAACACCGCCTTCCCGCCAAGGTACCGACCACCAACCAACATCCTGAAATACTCTGGGAAAATGAATCCCGGACTATGGCTTGAGGATTATCAGCTTGCCTACCAAGCCGGTGGAGTAGATAATGATGATTTTATTATCCGCAACCTTCCATTGTTCCTAGCTGATTCGGCGCGAACATGGTTGGAACACCTTCCGCCCAATAGAATCCAAAGTTGGGCGGGCCTGAAAGAGATCTTCGTAGGGAACTTCCAGGACACGTACAAGCGCCCCGGGAACCCATGGGATCTCAAAAACTGCCGACTAAAGGCTGAGGAAACCCTTCGTGGGTATATCTAGCGCTTCTCCTGGCAATGCAATGAGCTGCCTAATGTCGTCGACGCCGACGTTATAGGAGCTTTCCTGTCTGGGACCACCCGTGAGTCCCTAATTCACAAGCTGGGACATAAGGGCCTATGAACCACCAAGGAGCTGCTCGACATCGCCACCAACCATGCCTTGGGCGAGGAGGCGGTCGGAGCGATCTAAGACCACCTTAAGGGCAAGGCAAAATGAGACGAGGATGTCGGTGAGGGCGCCTCCAACCGTCCCATCAAGAAGAAGAACAAGCAGCGGCGCGAGGGCTCGCTCATGGCCACCGTCGACTGTAGGGGGGTCAGAAGCCTACGGAGGGCACCCCGAACCACTTTGAGAAGCTACTCGTGGGGCCATGCCCAAACCATGCCTTCCCTGTCAAGCATCTATACAAGGACTGCGACCTCATGAAGCGGTTCTTGTCCGGGGGCTCCAACAAAGGGGAGCACTGGAAGGACCCCGACCCGACCGCGGATGGCGCCGAGGGGAAGGATGGTGGCTTTCTGATGTCGGATGGTTGCCTCATGATCTTCGAAGGGTCAGTAGCCTATGACTCCAAGCGCCATCAGAAGCTCGCGTGCCGCAAGGTCTATATGGCCGAGCCAGCCATGCCTACCTTTCTCCGAT